TCGGCATCCGAAAATACGATGATGCGCTATTTATTGGGCATGCATAAAATTGAGCAGAACAATGACTTCTGTTTGGATTGCATTTTTGATATGCATCGAATCGCCGCAATCAGTCGGAGCGTTGCCAAGAAGCATGGACTGAGTCCACCACCGGCGTTCCTACCTCTGCTACTTGTCCTCCTTAACTGACCACTAACAGATCACTCTGGTGGAGGAGGTAGCCAGCGCGTACTCATTCCCTCACTTGAGAATCGGAAATAATCAATTATAGGAAAAAATCTCAACATGGAATAGGATCCCATCCCTCGTGACTCCCACAACGATGATACCGGTGATATACAGTGCATATCCTAGCGGTGGAGTGGGCGTGGCTAGGTGATTCACTTGGACATGTTGTAGAGTACTGTGTACATGGGATATTTTTATTTGATCGAAGTGTTGCCCTATCTCGTACTGGACAAAGTCATGATTGCAAACTGTTCTGAAATTGCTAAATTGCAACACCCCTCCAAAAGAGCAGGTGCCGCCACCTTCAAATGGAGTACGCAGCCACGGACTCCCCATCTCTGGGATATGGAGCCTACCTGTATTATAGCCTGTTAATAGTTGCTACGACCAACAGGCAGGGTGTGAGAAGCCCCCATCGAGAGAAGGCCCCAAGATTGCTTGCTGCAATCTTAGTAAACGCTCCTTTCACTAGCTCAATTGAGAGTATTTCTTGACTAGACTCCCGTAGGAAGGAGCCGGCTGGTCAAGTAACTCGCACGTCGTACGATCCGAAGTTCTCAACGGGAGGATCGTATTTACCGTAAATTTTCCGTAGCGACAGTACGCGCCCTTATCTCGAACAATGTTCGGGCTTTTGAAGAAGGCGACATGGTTGAAATCTGAGGCCAAATGTTGATTCGTTCGGCAATCTCGTCTGGCAAAAGAACACTATTTCCATCTGTTCCTTCTGAAATCAGAAACAGCAATGACGGCGCACGGTAGTTACAAAAATTTATTCGTTCTTATTTGAGCGATCTCATCGATATGCGATAGCGACATTGTATCTAACACTTGATTTATTAGTTACCAGATCGTTTACTCGGTGCCATAGCCTCCTCCACCGGGTGTCTGTATATGAAGGATATCCTGGAACGACACAATTATAAACTCTAATCACAGAACTAAACCTCGAGAAGGGTAGTCACTCACTCCAGGGTCCACTCGTAAGGTGATCTTCCCGCCAAGGTTCACGGTGCGCGAATGTTTTTTCAGTATGTTCACACCACGTGCACCTTCTCCTCCGCCTTTGAGACCGTATGGAGCAA